GACTACGCTCGTTGCTAAAGCTTGGTTTCGTCGCGGAACAGCGCATCAAATTGCGGCCGCTATTTCTGATATTATTTTTCTGCTAAAACTTCGTTGACCTTTGGAGACATCATTAATATAAATAATTTTTATGGCCGTTAAATAAGAAATGTTTCTTTCACAAGAAATGTATAAAATTACAGTACTAAACAGACGATAGGTCGCCTAACTCGCCGTAGCGTGACGCTAGACGGCGAAAAATATATATTTAATTATAATAAAGTTACAATAAATTAAGTTAATATATAATTATATATACAGTACCTAATTTATATATAATTAATATATAATTATATGTACAGTACCTAATTTATATATAATTTATATAATACTGTCCAGACGATAGAAATCTCTCCGTAGCGTGGCGCTACGGACGGCGGGTAAGTAGTTCGGCTGCCCGATGACGTTTTACGTATTATAGGAGTTATTTTTACCGTTGTTTACGGATAATGCCACAATTTTTATAGGAATCATAACTATAGGAAACGCTTTTATAGGGGGATCTACTGTACTTTTTCGATGAATACATATAACTAAACGATCGTTACGGCCAACAAAGTCGACGTAAAACTCCATAAAATTGCCTCCATAGGTGATAAAATGATACACAGTGTATAAATAATGCTTTAATTATATGTGTAGATTATAAAAAATTCTGATATCTTTTCTATTTGTTTGTCTGCTTAATTATATATTATTCAATATAATATTTATTATTACATTTTTATGCAGAGTTGTTTGAAGTATTTTTGAGGCCCAAATCTAATTTATTTAGAGCGTTATACAGATAAAAAATAAAAATAATGAGCAACAACGTTTCCTCTAAGCTACGTACTGTACTTGTGAGCCCACGCATTGTATTTCTATGGACATTAAGGTCCCCCACCAGCGGTCCAGTGGATAAAACCACTAAACACTGTCGTGGGTTCGCGAGCTGGTCAAGTGGAGTTTTCGGGGTTTCTTCAAGTTTGTAACACCTAAATAGGAGGCAATTTCTCTTAGAAAGTCCTCCAGGGAGGCATCTTTCCGCAGCTGATCGATCACCACAGTGTCGCGTTGCGTATAGAAATAAACCAAACCAAGCTTTTACTTTCCTCGCACGCAGCTGACAGCGGGACATCTACGTACAAAATATTCATGATGATCCAAAAAATTTCCACATACAAGGTTATTCAAGAGGAACCTACAATATTCTGAGAAATGATAGTATTAGTGATTCTATGCAAAGCAGTTTATATAAACATGTATCAGATTTCTTGTCTGAAATTTGTTTTCTGGTGCATTTGGCATCGTGCAGTTATACGAAAACTGAATGAGCATTGATGAGCAGTGAGTTAAAGCCCTAAGAAGGCGAAGGCCAGACTACAGAAATTTATGCTCTTGCATTAATGCGGTCCTGCTTTTAGGCATAAAAATTATCAATGTCATTTCATATAGTAGAATACTGTATTTAATTTGTATAAATCAGAAAAGTGAAATCGCAAAAAATTTAATTTTAATATCATTATAATCAAATAATGCTTTTGGAGATTTTAAGGATTACCAATGCGGATTTGTCATTTTAAATTTAATACAGAAACGAATAAATGTTTAAAATCACAAGAATTAATTAACACCGAATTGATATACTGTATCTATAATGACAGAAAACTTTCTTATGTATTAATATTGCTATTAATTAATTATCGTAAAGTATTAATAATAGCAACAAACAAAAAAGTACTTTAAAGAAAAATGTAATTATATTTTTAATATACTGTATTAATATTTGTTCGAAGCTCGGATTATAGTGCCAGCTCTGAGATACCGGAACCGAATGGTAGTTAATTAAAATAATATGTATCTAGAAAAATCATATAGGCCCTATATTATTTTAATTAACTACCATTTTATAGATAAATAGTTATAATTATTATTCTTGTCTCGTTTCAAACATGTCACTTATTTTTATGTATCCTTGTCGTTATCGATGTTTACATCAACCCGAAAAACACGGACGATGATCGTTATATTGTTGATATAATCTAGAGAATAAAATAGACAGGGAACAAGATAAATTATGATAACTAATATATAAATAAAATTCTATTTATATAAAATTAAATGTTTATTTTATGAAGATATTTTTAAAATCTAAATATTATAAGATAAAAATATCTGCACGACATTCATTGATAAACTTTTATTACACTTACACTACATTTATTTTATTCCATTATTTTATGTTAGAACTTTTTAAACGAAAATGTATTTATTATTGTATGAATTTTGAATGTAGTATAAGAATTTTATAGAATATGAAGAATAATATTTTAGCGATAATGACAAAATTAAATGATTTTAATTAATGAAAATACAAAATAACGTAATATTTATCAATTAGAAAGGTGAAAAAACGTGGCTCGTGTGGGGATCGAACCCACGACCTTCGCGTTATTAGCACGACGCTCTAACCGACTGAGCTAACAAGCCACTTAACGTATATTATTTTTACAATTCAATTTTATGCTAGCGCATGGGTCTCAAAGTGTCATTCCCAGGAGTCGATAAAACATTTTCGAGGATTGAAAATTAGTCGAAGTCGATTGAAAAAAATTATTAATTAAAAATAATTAGTCCCGTATGTTATGTATATAATAGTTCAGTTCGGAATATAAATTTTCACATTATAGGGTAGATATTTTCTATGAAAACGATGGATTGTGGATTAATACTGGACCCCAGATTTATTTCTCAACGTTATTATTAACTGTATTAACAAAATAAAAAGAAAGAGGTTGCTAAAAGATCGAGGGTCGGGGTCGGAAGTCAAAAACGTTTGGGGACCGCTGAACTGAAGTGACCAGATGTCTTGTTTTAGACGGGATAGTTCTGCTTAAGAATACACTCTTCCGTCCACCACTGGAAGTTAATTTGTTTGTTTTTTTTGGATCAAAATCTTTTTCCTTCCTATAGGTCCTTTTCGTCTAATCTGTGGTCAAGGTGTTAGCCTATCGCTCTGAAAGACTGGAAATCGAATCCAGGCGCAGCATTCCAGGAATTTTCACGGATGGTTTGCCCCGAATGTATCGGGCCCTCGTCTCTTACTCCGGCAGCTCTCATTGTGGACTAGCCGAATTCACGATAAGTATAATCATAAAAAGGCCCTTTTAGTGCCTAAAAGACTGAAGGAATTTAAAATGGTGGGAGATGAAAGTGTTAACAAAAAAAAAAAAAAAAAAAAAAAAAAAAAAAAAAAAAAAAAAAAAAAAAAAAAAAAAAAAAAAAAAAAAAAAAAAAAAAAAAAAAAAAAAAAAAAAAAAAAAAAAAAAAAAAAAAAAAAAAAAAAAAAAAAAAAAAAAAAAAAAAAAAAAAAAAAAAAAAAAAAAAAAAAAAAAAAAAAAAAAAAAAAAAAAAAAAAAAAAAAAAAAAAAAAAAAAAAAAAAAAAAAAAAAAAAAAAAAAAAAAAAAAAAAAAAAAAAAAAAAAAAAAAAAAAAAAAAAAAAAAAAAAAAAAAAAAAAAAAAAAAAAAAAAAAAAAAAAAAAAAAAAAAAAAAAAAAAAAAAAAAAAAAAAAAAAAAAAAAAAAAAAAAAAAAAAAAAAAAAAAAAAAAAAAAAAAAAAAAAAAAAAAAAAAAAAAAAAAAAAAAAAAAAAAAAAAAAAAAAAAAAAAAAAAAAAAAAAAAAAAAAAAAAAAAAAAAAAAAAAAAAAAAAAAAAAAAAAAAAAAAAAAAAAAAAAAAAAAAAAAAAAAAAAAAAAAAAAAANTTTAAAAAAAAAAAAAAAAAAAAAAAAAAAAAAAAAAACAGAGATTATATCGTTAAATAAAACATTTAGAAATTATTTAAAATACAATTTTTTATATTTATTTTTTATTTTCAATTAAATTATGTTATTTAAGATTTAGTTTAAATAATTTTATTTCGAATCACTAATTTGAATTTTTTGCCGCCAGATGGATACGTATCGTTTACAAATTAACAGAACTAAAATTATAGGACATGTAACAAGGTAGTTATTTATTTATAATATGTTGTTTATTCAGTAAAAATGGTTGATTTAATACAATTTTAAGCAGTTATTAATGCTTTGTGAGAATTATTAATTAATTAATTTATTTTTACAAAAAAATGCAAATATTTCATACATGTAGTGATTACTGTCACTTTGACACATTAAGCTGAAGTATTTAATGGTTTATATGCTTTATAAGTTCCTTTTACATGAATTACGTACAGATATACAAATCACCGAAAAGTAACTTATACCAAAGGTCTGCCATCTTCCTTGTTCTAGCTTTTTCCAATGTTTATAAGTGGTTAGCATTCCCATCTTTAATCAGTCTCCACTTTTTGTCCAGGACATCCTTTCTCTCAAATCCTGTGCCACCTTTTCTCTCCATCTCAACTTCAATCTTCCCCTCTTCCTCCTCTTTATCACTTCCAACATCCCAATCTTCTTACTCTTCACGTTTCCAAACCATCTTAATTAATCTACTTTCCTGCGTCTCCTTACTTTTAGGACCCATCGTGACTGTTTCTCTTATGTAATCATTTCTGATTCTATCCTCCTTTGTCACGTCTCGTGTCTGTCTCTACGTTTTGATCTTTGCTGTCTCCATCTTTTCCTGGGCTCTTGTAATTGCCTGCATCTTATTAATTATCCTGCCATGATTCATTGATTCATTGATTTTTCTCACAGCAAACCAAAATTTGCTGTGAGAAAAATCAATCTAATAATAGGATTAAAGGGATTAGAAGAAAGCAATATCTATACAGCACCCATACAAATAAGAACATAGGAATCATCAAACAATGTATTTATTAAGCGTGTATAGATGCCTGATCCTATCATATATTTGGAGGAAAAAATAAACGAATATCAGATATATTCAATAGTATTTGAATTTAAGTGTAAAAACAACTTGGACAACTTTTATCACTTGGAATAGACGCACGGTATGTAATTATTAATTACAATATTTTGAAAAAGGCTATCTCGTTTGCTGACAGTTTATCTTATTATATTTTAAATATGTACTGTACATTCTGAGTACCAGCTGATGTTGCATTGTCCTCCTTCCTGCTATGTGAACGGTGCACGCATGCACTGCAGAGTGCATTAAGGTTAGCAGATGATGAGTCAAACATTTTTTGTAAAACCAGTGTTACACTTCTTCTTTGTTTATTAAACTCATTTTGAAAAACATGTTGCTTATTATATATTATTGATTCTGTTTTCTGCTTTCTAAAACATATATTATGCAATTTCTTTACTTGCAAACCTGTAGCTATTTAATTACTGACAATAGGATCCAAGTTCATATGGAATGTTTCTTTTTCCAAATACAGAATCTGCTCCATAAGTCCTGTTGACATTTTCTGAATGACATTATATAAAGATAATCAGCAAATTCTTTATTGCTGTTTATCTTTATGTAATTCCAATTTTTATTTTTAAAATTCCAATAGCGAATTAGTTGAATATGAGATACTAGCTGTTACCCGCAACTTCGTCCGCGGAGGTTTTGCAAGCAAACCCCATTTACATTCAATATTTCAATAACTATAGTAATTGTTATATAACACCTACTGCTGAAGAGAATTGCCAAGAATCAAACGAACTATTTTCAATTTGATCAATTTTCTGGAACATTTACAATCGTTCTATAATCGAATCAATATGCAATTCGAATTTAAAACAGTTCAAACATTTTTAGAATCAAAATAGGTAAAAATATTTATAACAATGTCTGAAATGTTATTAATTTAATACACCTAAGTACTCGATGAAGACTATATCCTCTCCCTCACCCCCGCGTGGAAATTTTGAAAAATCCCTTCTTAGTGTGCATTCTCATGGCATACCCTACTACAATGCAGATAAAAACAAAAAATCGCTTCTAAAATAGTACAGTAGAAGCCATTCTTCTGGTTAAGCCTTAATCCTCTCCCTCCCCCCCTGTGGGGGAATTTCGAAAAATCCCTTCTTAGTGTGTGTTTTCATGACGTACCCTAACTGTGTACCAAATTTAACCTCTTTACATTTAGCCGTTTGCTCTGGACGATGATAAATCACACAGTCAGTCAGTCAGTCATTCAGGACAAGTAATTTTATATATTTAGATAAATTGAATTATAGACTTTAAAATTAACTACTACTTAAAATAAATAAAATGTAAGATTAATACTATTGCTTTATTAGATTTAATAATGTATTAATGTGAAATATAGAATAATTTATAAAATTTTTATTTTTTAAAGGCTAGTTATTGCTTATCCAGAATATTTATGACAAGTTCTTATATATTTGGATATACTTTATAACAGTAAAAAGTTAAAAAGTAAGTTTCTAGTTAATAGATATATCTATCAATGTTTTATGTGCTAATCTGTTAAAATTTTTTATTAAAATATATAATGTGCTTTTGGTTGATTTATTTCATCCTAATGATATTTTCAGTATTTGAAAAATAAAAATTTATTAAAAAAAAAGTTAAAATTTCTTAAATATTTTCTATGAAAGTTTATAAAAAGCTAAAAAAATTTTAATTTTTTGACGAAAGAATGACTTTTTTAAGGCTGTTAATTAAAAATATAATTTCCATCAAAAATGATAGGATATGCTGTTATTTCAATATTATTTTATCTTTCTAATTATAAATTCTATTCGGCCAGTTCTATTTCTAAAAATAAAGAAATAAAATTTTATGTTTTCTAATGCTTATAAAAAATAGCAATTAAAATCGACAGCTCTAGAATATATATGTTTTTTAGAACTTCTGTGTTAGTTCTGTTCTCTCTCTATGAAGTCACTTTCAACTCAAAGCTTTATTGGTCTGAAATTTGAAAATATTGTAGACCTATAAATTCCCACTGTCATCCATCTGCTTGTCTGTTTGTCCTTCCTTAATCTTGAGAGTGGTGTAAGATTAATGAAAGGTGAGACCAGATATAGAAAGCTTATCTGGTCTCGACTTTCCGATTAGCTATACAAGAACATTTGGTTTGCACCAGAATTCATGTTATTTCAATTCAAAAATTTTCCCTGAAAAGAGTTAGATACATGACTGGCATGACTCTATTGCTAACAAGAAAAAGTATTATGTACAGTACATGGGCAAGACACTACTAATTTGAGGTGGAGGGCATATAATTTAAATAAATTAAAAATATGAACAAAATTTGCAGCCAGGCATTGTTACAGTGCCACAATAATTAATGGTTATATTTTTATAAAATACATTATTTCATGATAAGTATTTTTGGCTTTTATGCCCCTTTTCAATCCATTCTTTAAGAATTCCTATTTGATATTACAATTGACACTTGGTAAGAATATTAAAACCAAATTTTATAAGCGAAAGAACTAATACACAAGTTCTAAAAACATAAAAGGAAGTGAATGAAAACAGAAAAACTAGAATATGTAGTTTTACTAGTTTATACCAATAGAAACGGTTTATAGTAAAATTAATATATACTAAGACTTTCATCTAAATTGATTATAATGGTTCAATTTGATAACAAATCATTTATAATTATTAATACTTATTTTTAAGCAATTTTTATGTTCATTATAATTGCTGAAACATTATTATGTTAATGTTTATGTATGTCTTCTTTAAGTCCATTCAGCTCAATTTCAGATATAACTTTCAAAAAATATCCCTTTAAAAATTGAGTTTCTTTGAAACTTGTATCTGAAGATGAGTTAAATGGACTTGAGAAACATTAAATATTGTAAATAAACTTTGTCTCTCTATCATAATATTGTTCAGGACATATTATAACTTAAAATCAGAGCTTATGATACATTTTATGTTTAAGTTTAACAAATTAAAGTTTCTATATTATTTTATTATAATAAATAGATTATATATTTACATTAAAAGCATTATATATGTGATTTTGAGTGTTTTGTTGTTTTATTTATATTATTATGTTTTAACAGATTATCGTAAATATGGCTACCCTTGATGACAAATTACTTGGTGAGAAGTTACATTATTATTGTAGTAGTGATGAAGAAATTGATGACGATGAAGATAGCAACAATGATGATGATGAAACAACTTTAATTAGAACAGCTAAATTTAATTCTTCAGATTATAATGAGTGGGAAGGTTCTTCGACAAATGTTAGTTTTAAAAGTATTTTTTCTTCTATATTTAGGAATATATTAATAAATACAGTAGAGCCTTGAAAACTCGGCACTCGATAACCTGGCACTCCGGATAACTCGGCCACACCCTGGTAGGGCAAAAAAATCCTTAGTTAATTAATTTTCATTATAGACAGCTTTATAAAAGTATAAAAGCTCTCATAAAGTATTTTTCTGAGGTCTGTCTAATAAGATAAATTACTGTACAGTGTATTCATTAATTTTCATTTTCATGTAGTAAAGGCTGTATGTCTTCATAACGGACATACTTTTCCTTTGTTTAAGGGTATTTGGGCAGTTTATTCTCTGATGTATTCTCAAGTAAACAATACATACAAGTACAGTACAGTATTTTCTGAGGAAACACTCATACTTATTTTTTTAACCCCATTCTCGATAACCCGGCATTTTCACAAACTCGGCCACCCTTCGGTCCACATTAGGCCGAGTTTTCGAGGCTCTACTGTATTATTATTATATAATATAAATTTAAAGGACTTTGTTTCAGAATTAAATTGATAAGTAATGTTATTCATAAGTTCTGAAACAAAATTCTTTAAATTGGCTTTATTTACAAATCAATTCTTCATTCTGCTATTGGGTAAAGTTTTAAATATATTTATTATTTTGTTTTTAATACTAAATTCTTTGATTTTAAGTCTTGATGATTTCAAAAGTGAATTTAAAAGTTTTTTTTAATTTTGTGGAGGGAAAAATTTTTAAATAAATAATTTTATTAATAAGTAAGAAGAAGTTATAGGAAAACAAAATACAAATGACTTGAAACAGGTAATGTTCAAGAACTATTTCCATGCTCTTCTGCATATATATTAACTTATCTTTTAAAAAGCATTATAATGTCATCTTGAAGGCATTTTAAATGTTGAAGAAGAATTTAAATTGAATGTTTGTTATCAGCAAACCTTATTTGAACTGATATGATTATTATACTGAATTTTGATTATACTGACCATTATGTTTAATGGTCAGTATAATATTATAATATATAATCAAAATTATTAGCATTTTGTGATACTAAACATTTTTATATACCATTAGTTAACATTTTCATTAATATAAAAAAAATAATAAATAAATAAATTTGCTTGTAGAGATTTGGATATAGTAGAAGATAAATCAAGTTGAAAATTGCTAAGTTTTCTTTCAATTAATCTTATGAAAAGTACATAATAAAAATCATATAAATATTTCTTATAAATGAAATACTCTTCACAGATGATGCTATATAATGATCTTAAAAGATGAGTGCATCTTTAATAAAGTTTGTTTTAAACAATATCAATAAAATTCATATTTATATATAAAAAATTTTACCAAATTTTTAATTTCATAATTTGCTGCTATGGCTGTTAAAAATTCATTTGTCCAGCTAAATGTTCATTCTTTATTTGATTTCCTATTGAATAATAATTAGTTTCTTTTAGAGTATTTATAAAAGTATTTTTATTATGTCTTTGGAGCAAATACATAACAGCATTAAGAAAAATGCAGATACTGTTACTATGATTCAGCCATTATTAAATACAAGTACATTTATGATTATACTATATTTTATACTGTTATTTTTATTTCCTACTGAATCATGTACAAACAGTACTGTACATGTGAAATGCATTTATCAATATGATACATATCACATATAATTAAAGAAAAATATACTGTTGAATAAGTTAAATGTACCCTATCCTACCAAAAGAAATTGGACACCTGATCAAAAACAAAATGCTAAAAATTTTGTGTGGCATACTTTCCACTAACTTCTGATACGTCTCAGGTGGTGTTTTCCTCCATTCCTCTTGCAAATGGACAGCCAGGTCTCTCAACAGATGATGGGCTATTTGCATAATTTTTTATCCTCATTTTTCTCTCTCCATGTGGTGTACAAAACACACTGTTGATCTGAAAAACTTTCATTTAGTGGAAGTGCCACAAGCACACAAACTACTAATCTGAGAACCAATGATACCACATTCAGACTCTCTAAGTACCTGAGTCTATTATGAGTGGCATGTAAATAATGAATGGCTACTATCTTTGAAGTTTTATATTGCACAGTTTAGAACATGCGGTATGTAATTAAGATGTGATTAATGTCTGATTCAATATGCAAATATAAGTGTGTAATTAGTTTCAATACAATAGTGTATGTTGAATAGAATAGTGATGTTTCGAAAACAGTTCATAGAAGATTTATATAATTGTTGTAAATATAAAGTTATGGAAGGCAAAGAGTTCAATAAAGCAAAGATTTAATATTTGGTATGTTAACTCTAGATATTTCTACTGGAAAGGTTAAAAGAGTAAAAAGATAGAAACTAAAGCTAAATATTATTATAAACTGAAGTTGATAAATTTCTTAACTAATTTATTTCTTAAAACTTATTTTATGATTTAATGTTGTTAATATGAAAGCTTTCTTGCTAAATAATGTCTAATGTTGTTAATTTAATTAATTTTATAAAGACAGGGCCTAAAGGTGTGATTAAAGATTGGCAGAGATATAAACAATTAGAAAATGAAAAAAGAGATGAACAAGAAAGAGAGAAGTTAGAACTCTTTAAAAAGCTTTCATTAACATGCAGATCAAACGTAAGTAAATTTTAATTAGAATATTTCTAGTAAAAGTTTGTTATATATTTAAAGTAGAATACTTAAAATTTTTGCTTACATAATTACAAAATTATTTCGTAACATTAAATCTTAAGCAATTTTACTCTGATACTTATCAGAAGTTATTCAAGTTTAAATTGAAAATAATCACTTCTGATCATTAAAATTAATTGTTGCAATTATTGAATTCATTTCTTTCATATTCATAAAGATTTAAAGTTTAAAATTGCAGAAGACAAAACTTTTACTATGAATATAAAATTAAAAGCAAAGTTTTTAAATATCTTAATTCATTAAATCTTGGACTTAAGCTGATTGCCTGACTCTGTACTAAGAAGTACAATGTTATATAATGTACAATGTTATATAATGTACAATGTTACAATAACTGAAAGAATCCAAGACTTATTTGATATTAACTATTTTTCAGGACAAACATCCCATCATCAATGCTTAAGGATTTTTGAATGCATCGTCAACATTTTTGTTCCAAGTCTGTAAAATCTGATGGGATGTTTGGTTTCAAGAACATTTAATATGAAATAATCTTGCACTCCTTCAGTTATTTTAGCATTGTACTATTCTCATTGTTTTAATTACACACTTTCATTTTTTCTCATATGCTTATTAAAATATTTAATAAATATAATCCAATATAATGTAATTTTGTTATTATTGAAAAATTATACAGTAGACTTGTTTTATAGCAATTTTGTAATTTTGTTATTATTGAAAAATTATACAGTAGACTTGTTTTATAGCAACTTTTAGGAGACTTATCAATAAATGTAATATATCAAATTTTCCTTATATTTTATGATACTGGTAGGAAGATGTTGATTATGTCGAGCTATTTTGTACTTACATAAGAAAAATACTCTTTAAAATTACATTATTTAAAGTAATTTTAAAAATTAATTCAAATAGTAAAGAAAAATATTACACTGTAAATTTGTTTTTAAAACTTAAATGACAGGTGAAAAATGAAAAGAAATAATCAGTGAAATGACACTTAATAGATTCTTCAAATGTGCATGAAGTTTGTTATTACTATTGGAATCTCATATCCAATCTTGGAAGAAATTGTAATGGTTTTAAGTATTGTAATTTTTTTCTATTTAATTTAGTAATGAAATTTTATTTATTTACTGTATGCACTATTTTTATGTACAGCACAATAAATGTTATTTTGATTTAAAAATATTAAGGCATATATTTTCCTAAGAGTTTATTCTTGTTCCCAGTTTGTTGATTCATGTTTTGAAAAGTCATTCTAATAAGATCCTGACCATTTACGGGATCATTATATTGATAGTAAAATAGTGTTACATTTATGAGTAATGGCAAACCCTTACACCCAAGATTTTTACATTTTTTGGCTCAAGATACCTCGAAACATCGAGGAGTGAAAAAAAACTTGGAGATTTTTCTTTATGTATGAATTATAGTGTGTGGGGCATGATTTTGTTCACCCTCTTTGAAGCTTAACCCCTGTGCTTTTAGTCAAAAATTTCTGAAATTTTGTAAGGAGGTTTTTGTATTAAGAGGATCGATGCTATTAAATTTTGATGGTTAAAGAGAGTGGAGATATAAGGGGGGGTCATGTGTATTTCCAGTAAGTCACACTTAATGACAATTTTACTTGTTATTAGCATTTACAATTTTTTATAAAACTCATCCATACCCTCAAAATTAAGCTTTTTGCCACTTTATAATAGTTAAATATATAAAAAATTAAATGTGTGAATGTTAGAGTTCAAGTATTTTTATTATGTCTTTGGAGCAAATACATAACAGCATTAAGAAAAACGCAGATACCATTACTATGATTTAGCCATTATTAAATACAAGTACATTTATGATTATACTATATTTTATACTGTTATTTTTATTTCCTACTGAATCATGTACAAACAGTACTGTACATGTGAAATGCATTTATCAATATGATACATATCACATATAATTAAAGAAAAATATACTGTTGAATAAGTTAAATGTANATAAAACCCAATATTTTCTAAATATTCACTGTGAGTACCTTGAAATTGTTGCACAGTTTTTTATTCTTGGCTTGGATTTACTCTATTAGTCATTACATTGTGATGAGTGATTAGTTGAAAGCTAATATAAAGTGAACCTCTGTAATTCATGTAATTATTAGATAAATTATATGTTGTTTATTCATTTAGCTCATTAAATTTTATATGTACTTTTTCACTTTTAGTAAAAATTTTAATTACTTAGGAATTTTATACTATTAATTAGCTTCATAACATGTTTCTTATCTGGTACGAGAATTTTCAAATGCATTGAATATTTGATTCTGAGATTCAATATAAGATAGATGATTTGTTCTGCTTAGTTGTTATGGTCATCTGATGATAAAATTGGGTAGATTCAGAAGTGTTGAAGATAATAAACACTTCTGTATTAAAATGTGTTTTGATGATTACTAATGCATGAATACTTTATATTTAGTTGGATGATGAACAAGCAAAACAGAAGGAAGAAGAAATAGAAAAGGATCTTCAAGAATTAATGAATGATGAATTTTTAAAAGAATATATGCAAAAAAGAATGGAAGAAATGATGAAATCTGTTCAAAATAAGTAAGCAAAATGAATTTTTATTAATATCAAGTTACAAAACATAATCTTGACAGATGAAATAGATTTTGATAGGAATACTTTACATAACAGATATTGCTATTATAAGTTAAGAAAAAAATTTCTTGTTTTTAGATATTACAAAAATAATAAATTGTGTATAAAATGCTAAACTACAAAATTTTTTTGCATAACAGATTATTAAATAGATTTATTTTAAGTAACAAAAATTTATAAATATGGTTTATTTAAATATATCATAGAGTTTATTAGAGAAGACTAGTTTTAACATTTTTAATGTTAAAACTAGTCTTGTAAAAGTAAAAATGAAAATCTCAGGATGGAATATATTAATAAAATGTTATAAAATTAAAGACTAAATACTAAAAACATTTTAAATCACCTTCCAAACATTCATTCATAACCATCAGAACATGACAGACATTAATGAAATCAACCTTTCTTTGTAGATTCTTCTCTGTCTACATATATATTAATTGTTTAAAACTCCCTCTGGTATTGGATTCTTCTAAAATTTTTTGATGCCATGATTTTTAAACAATTTGCATGTATAGGTAGAGAAGACCATACAAATTAGATCAGCTTCATTAGCTTTGAGGTTATGAATAGACATTTGCAAGACCTCAAATGATTTTTTCCCTTTTACTTCAGTTATTTACCAATGTTAAAACTATACTACAGTTATTTGGATATTCCTTGTAAATCTCTAAAAAAAATGTCTTAAATTCACAGTGAATTTATATCATAGTATATTAAATATGTCACAAGATAAACTTTTGTATTAAAATCAGAATAAATAATGCTATGAATATATTGTTTCTAACAGAAATGAAAGCTTTATATTTTACAAAGATGTTTATAGAAAGCATGCATCTGACTGAATGTCACATTGCCAAGAGAAAAGAGGACAATTTAAATTTCAGTACATTTTTATTGTTTTACTCCATGCACTTGTTGATTAAAAGATTAAAACTGTATTTTTGCATGCTATTTTCATAAATTATTAGAATTGCATGCATAAATTCAGTTTTTAGTTTTATTGACAAAGTTTTATGAATAGGTTTAGCCAGTCCAGCCATGGCCAGACCACTTTTTACTGTGAATGTTTTGAATACAATACTACTTTCAAATCACCCACTTGCATGAAACACTATCAGATCAAACCAATAGACTTTTCATTAGGAGGAGAGGGTTATTCCTAAGGTATTGCTTTTCTATCTCTCTGACAACACATGTATCTCTACCCAAGGAGATATATATATTAGAAGAGTTAAAATGACAGATTTACCCAAACGAGAAAAGTAATGAAATTTTTGAATTATTGGACACTATTTCGGTTATGGAAGTGGATAAGGCCATCAAAAACATTAAATGAGGAAAGGTTGTTGGTGTAGATGATACCAGAGCAGAGATGCTAAAGTATGGGGAAATAACAATAATACAGTGGTTGCATCACATTATTCAAATACGTTAGTCTGAAGGAAAGGTTCCAGAGTATTGGAGAAAAGATTTAATTGCACCAATTCATAAAAACGGAAGTAAAACAGAATGTAGTAATTACAGAGGACTCTCACTTCTCAGTGAGAGTCCTCTGTAATTGATGCCAGGAATTTTAAACAATTTGCATGCAAGAAAGCTAAAATTTATGCCAGTGTTTTAAGAAAAGGGTCAGATGTATAGTTGAAAGTGACATAGGAGAAGAAAAGATAATCTTTAGACCAAATAGAGGATGCCAGGATTAAATATTTACAATAAGATAATTGACAGGGCGTATGGGAATATAACAATAAATTATACTTGGGATTCATTGACCTGGAGAAGGCATTTGATAGAGTGCCTAGACCTAGAGGATTACTTTTTGAAGTTCTTGAGAAATATGGCATAAAGGATACTCTAGTAAGGAGAATCCAAACCTTGTATGAGAACTGTAAATCAGCTGTAAGGATAGAAGGACAAATAAGTGATTGGTTTGAAGTAAAACTAAGAGTGTGGCAAGAGTGTACACTTTCACTTTTATTATTTATAAGTTTCATGAGTAATTTAATAAGAGAAGCAAAACTATTGACAAACTTCAGTTTGGGAAATATAAAGGTTGGTTCTTTACTCTATGCAGATGACATTGTCTTATTAAATAATAAATCCAAGGACTTTCAGCAAACTTTAAATAATTTAGAGAAAAGTTGCAGGAATTTTCGGTAGTCAATCAGCTACAAGAAAACAAAGATTATGGCTATTGGTAGAGAGAAAGAGACTTTAACAGTTAAACTTGGTAACAAATGCTTAGAACATGTCATACTTAGGAACAATTTTTAGTGAATACAGAAAGTTAAATTTGGAAATCAGCAATAGATTAAGCATGTCAGGTCAAGTAGAGAGCCAATTGGACAAATATATCTGGAACAAGAAAGAAATAATACAAAACTGGTTATGCACAACACAATTTTTAAACTTGTATTGACATATGGTTCTGAGAGTTGCGTGAGAAATAAGCAAATTGACCAAAAATTAGAAACAGCAGAAATGAGAATATTTCGAAAAATTAGTGGTGTTAATAGATAGATATAGTGGCAAAATCATATTAGAAATGAAGACATAAAAAACTAAGGTAACTAATATTCAGTTGAGAGTAAGTGAGGCTAATCTGAGGTGGTTTGGCCATTTAGAAAGAATGGCAGAATAGCGACTAGCCAAACAGGTATTTGAAGCTAAAATCAGAGGGAAAAACCAAAAGGATGTCCTAGATGAAGATTGATAGTACAGTAGAGCGTCGTTTATCCGAAAGTCGGTTATCCGAAACGTCAGTTGTCCGAAAGAATTCCAGTCGGCAAATTCAAATTTTCGCTAGTGCTGTGGTGCTGCAATCTTTGGCTATATCTTGGGCTACTCCAATATTTTTTTTGTTGGTGTGTGTATTTTAGCTGGCAGCACTGGCACTTTTGTGTGGTGTTTTTCTGAGGACTGTGTGTGGTGCTGAATCAAACGTTTTTGATACTAGATCATCTTCTAAAGTATATTTTTTTTTGGTTTTTATATTTTTCAATATATTTATTTTGTTTGTACAAAATAAAGAAGTAATTTTTAACGATACAATAGCCACGATTATTATTTTAAAAAGTTTACGTTAGGCTTAACATCAACGAAAATTCAACGCAAAGCGACATGCAACAGAGAAAAATTTCAACACGGGATAGGTTAATATATTTTTTCGTACATAATCGATTATCCGAAAAATAAGTTATCCAAACAACCTCGGTCCCCAATTGATTTGGATAAACGACGCTCTACTGTATTAAACAGAATGTAGAGGAAAGGAATTTAACTTTACTCCAGGCTAAAAACTTGTCTGTCGATAGGAGAGTTCGGAGAAAACTAGTGGATGGTAGTATAAAAGTTTGTATTAATAATTGTAACATTAACATTAATAATGTAAAAATTGTTTATAAAGGAAAAAAATAATGTAAAAAGAAAAGTTAAAGAGCATTTGTCATATTTATTGCAAAATAATATGGTTAATTTAAATATGTTGTGTTGACAGCTGCATGCTGGAAGACTTTTGTTGGATATAAAGGTGGAAATTCATAATGATTAATAATGATGAAAAATTGTCGGAGTTCAAATTGTATGCTAAAAAACCCTACTGAGGAGGCCAAATATCATTGGCGAAATGCATTTAGGGAATTTATGAATGTAATAAAAGTGTTTTTCTCTGCAAAGTTGGTTTGCTTTTACCTTTTTTTTAACTTTAATTTTTATTTCATTATTGATGTAATGTTTTAGAATTTTGAAGTTATTACCCTCTGTAAATCAGAAAGGAAAGAAAGATTTCTTTTTCGTGTATTTTTCTACAATACAATTAAATAAGAATTGGATAATTAATTTGACTCCATTGTTTTAAATAGTTATTTTGAATATAAAAGTTATATATATCATCACATTGATCTGTACACCCTCAGGGTATCAGCAGGAATAGATGATGATAAGTTAAAATGAGTAGGTAAATATTGAAAGTGAAATCTTCATAAAGAAACTAGGAGATTGTGATTGTAATCTTGGCAATAACTCCTTTCTTTTTCGGGTTGGGCCACTTTTTCCCCTTCCTACAACCTTAATTAATATTCCCAGTTTTGAATTTCTGTCTATTAAGACCAAAAAGATACAAACCCAACAGCCTTTCTGAGACACATTATATAGGACCATTTTTATTAATAATAATTAGTAATACATTTCAAAAGATAATTACTTTATAAATGTTGATTCCTTTTTTCAGAACAAAATTTAATGCATTATATAATCTAAAAAATGGGCAAGAATATTTGGAAGCAATTGAAAAAGAGAAACCCACTGTAACTATAGTTATTCATATTTACACTGCCGTAAGTTACTTTTTGATCTATTGAAGTTTAAGTTATAAATGTAAAAAGTATGAGTGCAAAAAATATATATTTTAAAGTTATATAAATAATTTTTATTATTAAATATTACATTCAGTTTTTTTTATTAAGAACTTATAAATGTTACTTAGTCTGTGTTTGTTAGAAATTTATATCAATATGTTGTAATTTATTTATCATCAGAAATGTATATTATGATAATTTTGCAGACATTTTAACATTTTCTATTACTTATAACATTTGAATTATAACTTAGCAAGCAAAATTTTTACATTATATAAAAGCCATTTTAAAAATTTGTTGTTAATGTAAAAATTATATAACATTCTGTATATAAGTTATATACAGTCAACCCTTGAGACAGCATCTTCCTAATTAGTATCATTCTCATTTCTGAATGGATCACTCCCCATAAATAAATTACTTAGACTCTGAATCTAGTAATTCATACTAAGTTTATTATTTTACATCCGCAAATGGCATTGTTAATCATCAAAGCACTTGATTTAGAGCAGTGGTTGGCAACCTATGGCACGCAGAAGGTTTCTTGGTGGCATGGCCTAGAGCAGGGATGGGCAACCAGTGGCTTGCATTAATATTTTTTGTGGCCTGCATTGCATAAAATATGAATAAATATATCAGATTTCTCAGCTTAAGGAAGTATGCAGCAAAAATTCAAACATTATTTTTTACAACTTATGTATATGAACAGTTTTTCCTGCAATGAATTTAGTAAAAATTAAAACAAGAAATTGCCTAACAGACTCGCATCAAAACTAATTTAAAACTAGCAGTGACAAATATTTAACCAAATATTTCTGATATATTACATTCACATCAGTTTCAGAAACTGAATTAAGTATACTTATGCTAATTTATAATTATATATGAATAAATAATCGTGATTTACTGGCATTTATTTTCTCTTTTCTTTTGTATGCGGCCTGCATCGGTTCAAAAGTTTTGAAATGTGGCCCTTACATAGAAAAAGATTGCCTAGAGAATGACAATTAATGAAAGGTTTTCAATATTTGAATAAAAAGTAATTTATAAAAAAATATTTTTAATAATAATAATACAATTTATAAGCTATAAATTAAAATTTTGTTATAATAACTAAAAGGTTCCAGACAAATTTTCACATACAAAGAAAGTCTCCTTTGCTCTTTTAACTGTTTTTGGTACAATGTTCTACTGTGAATAAACATTCAAAATGATGGAATGTATTATAAATCCGTATGAAAATCATTTAACTGAAAAAAATTTGGAAATGTGCATAAAGTTAAAAAATTCAAACTGTAACCAAATATTGAACTATTAGCTTCAGAATTTGAACCTCAAGGGCGTTAGTAATGTTTAAATATTGTATTTTTTAATGATGTTTTTATTACAATAGTTTACTATAGAGTGTGTTATAGTCTAATTAAATTTTTCTTAACAGTACACTAGTTTGATTTCAGTAGCATGTGGAGTGCCCAATATTTGAAAAACAATAATTATGTGGCACTCCAATGTATGTAGGTTACTGACCACTGATTTAGAGACACTGAGACTTATGTGTAAATATCATTATTTATATAATTTTTGCTGTTTGAAGTCCTTTGGTTTAGCACTATGTTCAATTTTAGTGACAATTTTCAGAGGTAAACAAATGTCAGATAATGCCACTGAAATAAACAAAATAGCTGGCTTTGAATAGAATTGCTGTCTACTTCCTGCTTTTACTAATGCAAGTTTTCAGTTTTACACAAATGCTCTTTGAATAAATCTGTAATACAGTACCAGGAATATTTGATTCAAATATCTTAATAGGTACTAAAGAACATCATTTGTTACAAGAATTCAAATATGAAATTACCAGGATATAGTTATACGTATACACAACTATATATTTTTAATATTATATATTGATTTTTGTATCAAAAATATAAATTCGAAAGTATAAAATATAATATTTCAAGATATTAAATAATTCTGATAAATTTGGAACAGTATTTTTGGTTAGTACTGTTAATCTGTTAGCAAAGTGTATTAAAACATTGTTTCTGGCTTGCAAATTCTACTCTATGTATAAACTTGGACATTTTTTTTGTAAGTTTTGAATGGAAGTTATTGTTTCAGGGGTAACATTAGTTGACGAGTTTATGATGAAGCATTAGAATTGATAATTAACTAATAGTAATGTGTTTTAAACATTAGATATTTAAGCATGATAAATGTTTTTCATTTAGTATTTATAAAATATACTGAAGTATGTAAACAAGAATAATTTTACATTTTTAAAGGATATTCCAGGATGTGAAGCTATGAATGGCTGTCTTCAGTGCCTAGCACAAGAATATCCATCTGTAAAATTTTGCAGGTTAGAAGCATCGTCTGCAGGGATGAGTAAACATTTTGTAAGAATTATATTTTGATTTAGTTTAGAATTACAATCAGCAAAATTTTCAAATGAAATAGATGATATAATTGAAAATTTGTTTTTCTGTTATTGTAGAAAATTTTTATTTAATTCAGTTTTATAATTATTGGTGAATTAAAACTCTTTGCAGGAAAATTATGGAGTTCCAGCACTTCTAGTATACAAAGGTGGACAATTAATAGGAAATTTTGTACGCCTTACAGATGAATTTGGAGACGACTTTTATGCTGGTGATGTTGAAAATTTTCTTTTAGAGTGAGTTTTCATTTTATTATGTATTCTTAAATAATTTTAACTAGAAGCAAGTAAATAAAATATAAATGTCCTTAATCTAAATTCTGTAAATGATAGCTTCTTTTCAATGTACCTTTATAATCAAAGTCAAATACTTTGTTAATTATTCTACATTACATTATATACAGACAACTTATTATAACAGAAATACACATTTAGTAATATTTACAAAAAAATTATTTAAAAAAAGGTATAAATCTAAAAATAAAATATCTTTAGAAAAATTAGCAAATAATATAATACTTGTTTTATTACCAATTTTGAGAGATTTTAAGGCAAATAATTGAAATAACAATCAAATACTAAGTATTTATTTTTACAATTTTATCCATATGCATTTCATCTTTAACTGGTCTCATCACTGGATACAACCATCATTTAACAGAAGTTCTTTTATAATGGACTATATTGTCCCATCATGCATATACAGCCATACCATATTCAAATTTATTACATTTGCATAACTTGTTATACAGTAATGTTCAATAATGGATCTTTTTACCAAGTTTTTAACATTATTTTTATTAATTTTACAATTAAAAATGCTACAATGCTGGTACAAAGATGATTCTTTACTTTTTAATCATACTGCCGCATCATGTTCTTTTAACCTTTTTTCCAGTTTTCTTCCTGTTTCTCCAATATAGTATTTTGGGCTAGGATACATACATAATATTTTATAAATCACTCCTTCAATCTCCAAATGATTTCCTTGTATTTTTTGATCTTTATTAATAAAATTAATTATATCAGTTAATCTGTTTTTTTGCTTCGCTACTATACAAATCGAAAGTTTATTAAATTCTGTTTTATATTTTTCATATAGACGATTTGTATATGGAAACTGGATGTATAAAGTGTCAATTTTTTTATTTTTAATGTTATATCTATTATATAATATTCATACCACTTACTTATAGTGTTTTTTGGATAATTATTTAATAAATATTTTTTGAAAAGCTTAGTAATTTTGAAATCATGTTGTTATTTATTCTGTTTTTTAACACTATGTAGTGCAATCACTCGACCACTTGGTGTTTTTCATCTTAATTTTTATTCAGTTCAGTTGATATGTGTACACATTATTTTGTACACGTTTTGGTCTTAATAATGCCCCTCTTCAGTCAACTAAAATCACAAAATACAAAATAAAATCATAAAAGCAAGACGTTGTAAGATCATGAAATCCAATTTTTAAAAATTATTACTTTTTAATTGGTTTGTTTCTATGTTTTAAAGAACTTTTCCCAAGACGGTCACATAGTCTAAAAAGAAAGGTCGGGCCATCTGAAGTTTTTACTAAGAAACATTTAAAAGAAATATGATGATCACCCAAGTTTTTGGAGAGGACTATGTCTTTTTTATTTTTTTAAAAGAAAATTTCATCATCTAGCAAAAATCTAAAATTAAAAAAATTTGATAATAATTTGCCACCAGAGGATAATCTACATTAAACAAATCATAAAATACACACAAATCACAAATTGTTATATACATATATAATTGATATAATTGTTATACTAAACCTACCTTGAGATCACAATTTTCTTTGAAAAATTTTTTACATTAGATGTCGGCATGACAGATGCATAACTTGCACATATAATCATTCCTGCTTATCTAGTAAATTAATATTTATCAATTATTGCTCTAATGAACCCCTTTTTCCTTTCAAAAGCAGTAAGACATAGAAAAAAATAAAAACATGTAATGGTATGCCTGAATATATTTTTATAACACTATAATTAATTAGCGCGATAGTTGATAAATATTCGTTTACTAGATAAGCAAGGATGATTTTATGTATAGGTTATGCACCTGTCAGGCGGACATCTAATGTAAAAAATTTTTCAAAGAAGATTGTGATCTCAAGGTATGTTTAGTATAACAATTATATTGGTTATGATTTGTGTGTATTTTATGATTTTAGTTGACTGAAGAGGAGTGTTATTAAGACAGAAACGTGTACAAAATAATGTGTACGCATATCAACTGAACTGAATAAAAATTAAGATGAAAACGCCAAGTAGTCAAGTGGTTGCACTACATAGTGTTAAATAACGGTTTTAAAAACTGTTTTGTTTCTGTTTCAATATCTTCTTGTAATGTCATTCTATTTCTTTCTTTTTTTTTTTTTTAATTCCATTAGGAATGTATTCTCTTGATGTCTAATGGACAATAGGATTTATAATTAATAGTTTTTTTTAGTATTACATGGTTTCTCGTACTTACGGAAATATAGTTTTTCTTCTTTTCTTTTAATGGTAATGTCGAGGTAATTCATTTCTTGGTTATCTTCATCTTCATATGTAAATTTTAATTTATTATTTAACTTATTTGCAATTCTTCAAATTCTTTGGTTGTGGTGATTTGTGAATCATATATTATAAAAATATCATTGACATATCTTGCATAGTAACAAATACCTTTAAAGTGTGATATTTTCTCATCTATTGTAAACATGCATTTGTCTGCCAGGTTTCGGTTCGATAACAGATTTTGTTAAAATCTCTTGAAATCGGATAGAATGAGTATTATATTACTTACTAATTTTATTTTTAGATTTATATTTTCTTTTAAGAATTACTGCAACTGATCCTATTGCTTTTAAATTTTGTTTTTAAAAAAAATTACTTTATTGTGCAATTTTACGGACGGTTTAATTTGTCACTATTGTATGATTTTTTAAGTAATAAATTCAGATATTAAACTGATGATAAGAGCTTAATTGTCCAAATATTTTCATTTGTTCAGTTATAGTAAATTCGTAAGAATTCAAAATTATAAAATGCTGATAATGTTATTACTTTTTCATATTTATAAGTTATGTTTTTTATGACTTGAACTTTAATATATTGTGTAAGATTACATAAATTTAGAGTTTGGCATAAATGAAATAAATCCTCTGTCTTTGGTTTTATTGATAACTTGATGGCCAGATGATCAAGGCATTTCAGTTGTTAGCTTAGGCTTGATCAAATTCTATTTTAGCTTTCCTAGGATAGAATTCAATCAAGAAATCCCAGGAAGTTTTCATGGGCAGTCCATCTCAGATATGATATCTGTTTTATCCACACATTTTTAAACACAATGGTAATGCAGGCAAAACATTAGATTGTTCAACAGTCTAGTGTTTTTGTTTGCACTTTAAAAAACAAATATAAATTAAAGTATAGTTCCAAAGCAACTAAATCTGCTATATCTTCTAAATTAACTGATTTGGAAGAAAAGATCAGACAGAAATATGAGTAATGTAAGTAGTAATGTCTCTATGGGAACAAGTTAAACGAGAATGATGTCATTGTTGTTCTTATTTTATTAGAATTTTCGACCAATTCGTTCATAACTAAATGGCTGTTTCTAAAATTGAAGATATGAATGTTGTTAGTGCAGCCTTATCCGAAATATGTTTCTTAGATTGCTTTGGGTGGACAGTTATTTCTGTCATTTCACCTTTTAATTCATAGTTTAAACACTCGAGAAGATTTAGAAGCATTGATATCATCTGGTGCCATTTTCTTAACGAAGTGAACTAACTCTTTTCTTTCTGAACTTCGTTAGAGTTTCATTTGAAACGTCATTACCGCAGAGCATATGCACTGAGCGAGACTACTACTTTTTGAACGATTCGTTACTAATGCGTTTAACTCGTTCAACTTTACGAACATACCCTATGTAGTAAGCAGGCATTATGGGTTTGAGTTATTCTCTAGACTGATCTTTTCTATCATAATATTTTAAATTAAATTTAATTTCTCTAATCATTAAATTTAATATTTGGTGGCACTATATATTAAACCTAGCTCAAATTACTTAGTATCTTTAATAATTAATTATCCATATTATAGCTAATAAAAATTTGGTTGCATTGTTTGATAATTAAGATATATCAGGTTTAGTTTTATTTGTTTTTTAACACAGTTTAAATAAATCCAACAACAAGACAAAGTTAGGATGAATAAAACTCAATTATATCTAAATAAAAAAAAATATTTCTTACAAAATTTATTAAAGATATTTAAAAAAACTTAATTTTAAAACTATAAAAACATTGTGACTTTTACAAATGCATTTAAAACTTTTATGTTTACTTAAAAATTAAAGACAAATATTTTTTATTATAATTAATTATAGTTATTATATTAAAAATATAATAAATACTTTTCTGATTGTATATTTCTAGGCATGGTATGCTACCCGATCAGAGTTTGGTTCCTGTTATTGTCAAAAGGGACAGTAAACAAAATGAAAAAACTGATAGTGATTTTGAATTAGAATGATAATTTATACTTTATCTCAAAGTATGAATTCAAATTTTCATATATTTTTAGTCATTGCNTTCGAATTCTCTATTCGTTTGATTTGCCTGAGGACGACGTGCATATTTACGTCGAAAGCGCTCGCAAGAATAAAATATTTTAATTGTGTTTAACGCCTTAGTGTCTGAAGTTTTTGAAGAAGCTTTAATTAAAGTTACATTTCATCACATTGATACATGTTTAAGTCTAGCTGTTTTTAAAATTTGGACAGAAAAATTTATTAATTATAACTAGATACTTATTTATTCAATTTTTATATATAGATATAGATTGCATTTATTTATAAGTGCATTTTTAGCAAACATGAAGGACCAAAATGTAATGGTAATTCGACAACTAATTATTCTGTTATTAAATATGTCTTTCAATAATTAAATAATGACAGTTGTCTCAATGGAATATTCACTAATTGTATTATAAACAAAATTGAATAAATTTATTTATAATTATAATAATTGCTTTAACAAATTAAATTATTTAAAGTTATTTGTTTTCCTAAACAATAAAATATAATTGACTGGAATTAATTTTAGCTTCTGTTGGTTATGATATTAAAATAAATCCATTTTTTTTCTTTGTGATAACTTACATATTTCAAGTGTTTTATGTAGATTTACAACTATGATTTTTCAAAAAATATTCTGGACTAAAAAAATTAAGTAAAAATGTTAATAATTTACTTTCTAGTTAATTTTTCTAAAATATCATTATTAGAGTTAATTTTCCAATACATTATAAGTTTTTATTAATGATTTTTTTTTATTATTATTTGTTTTAAAATTCAAAACTTTTAAGATATAAATTATTTATTTTTGTTTATTTTTGACGTTCTTCAATTGATTTAGTTTTTTTCTGGTCTTCCCTGAAACTGCATGGATACTATGCTTATCAATAACAACTTTGCTTCTATTTTTCAATGATAACATATTTATATTGTATTTGGAGTTACAAAATCACTAATTTATAACTTATCTGGAAAATTTTTGTGTACAAGTTTATTAATGTTAACAACATTGGTCTGATAGTAGTTACTTATATCATCAAAATAGCTAATCTCTAAATTCTGATAAACCTTCAGAGTGTATAGTAATAATTTTCTGTGTAACGCAAATCTATACACATATATATGTACAAAGCCAACTAATTTTTAGCAGATCTAAACTATTTATGTTTTTTAAATTAAACCTATAATATCATATACACAAGTACAGTTGAAACAAAATACATTTAGTTGTTTAATATATATCCACACACCTTACAACATCCAACAACAAACAGCTTTAACAGTGCATGTTAACATTTTTGACTCATTTAAATGACTGTCATCAGGTGAATTGAAACTACAAAGTAATAGTTTCAGTTCACCTGACAACAATCCCATTTAAAATGACTGGAAAAATTAATTGTATGCTGTTAAAGCTGTTTGTTGCTGAAGGTTTAAGGTGTGTGGATATATTCTGTAATAAATTTTAGTTGTTTAAGGAAATTCTAAGTGAAATGATTAATATGTATATATTCAAATTTCACTTATTTCTTTGTTATCTTACTTATTAGCTTAGAAAATTATTAAGTAAGATGTTTATTAAATGTGGTCAACAAGAAATTTACTAAAAATTCTCAAAGGAGAAACCAATTTACTTACTGTTGTTAATTAATTTTTTATTACGAAAATCAATTATTATAGCTTTTTACAAAAAATTAATGAATTATTAATAGTAATTTAAAAGAAACAAAATATACACACCATAGAAGTAGCCTTTACATTGGTTTGAAGAAATCACTTCATAAAAACGAATAACAATTATTGTTATTCGTTTTTATGAAACAAAATATAATTTAAAATATATTTCCTTTCGGCCTATACATATAATTGAGTCCATCTTCATTTGTCCCTTCACACACTTTGCAGAGGCAATAACAAATTTATGGTGATACCGACCTTTTATTTGAGGCTACATGTTTGCCGTCCAATGTAAAGGCATGGTATGCTACCCGATCAGAGTTTGGTTCCTGTTATTGTCAAAAGGGACAGTAAACAAAATGAAAAAACTGATAGTGATTTTGAATTAGAATGATAATTTATACTTTATCTCAAAGTATGAATTCAAATTTTCATATATTTTTAGTCATTGCAAATCATTATTTTTAAAATATTATTGAACATAAAAGTTACATTTCGTTAGGAGTAGTAAAAACGTATTGAGGTTGGATGTCACGCCAACTTTTATTTTAATTAAAGCTTCTTCAAAAACTTCAGACACTAAGGCGTTAAACACAATTAAAATATTTTATTCTTGCGAGCGCTTTCGACGTAAATATGCACGTCGTCCTCAGGCANTATTTATGTTATTATTCCAATATCTATGAGATAAATAAGCTAAAAGTTGACTAGATTTCCTCACTAAGTTAACTGGTTCCTCAATAAGAAGTGAGGGGAAAAAACTAAGAAAGAGTTTTGCATTTTACACTTAGTTTAAACTAGATTTTCACATGCAATGATTACTGATACCAGGAGAATGTTAATTTAATGGGTGCATTTACTTTTTGCTAGCTTCCAAGCTCATCAAGCTGACACCTAGCGCAGCCTGACGTCACGCTCGTAAAAGTATACACAGTAATGGATACCGCCATGTTTGAACAAACTCCAAGTTCATTGTAAATTCTCCAAGCACACTAAGAATGCTAGCAATGACATCACAGGTGCAAAAAGTAAACACTGTGCTCATTGGTAGCTAACAAAAGGTATACAGGCGCTAGGTGCAAGATCGGCGCTGAAAGTAAATCCACCCTATGATGCCAAATGTACACTTGCTGTGTACTTTCACAGGCACTATGATTATTGGCCAGTCAAGTGGCATCATCTAAATTTTGTTTTCACATACAAATAAACTGATGGCAGTCAACTGTGCCAATCTATATTCTTATTATGACAATTATAATTACTCAATATATTATTATTATGATTAGTTGACAAAGAATAGAGCTAATTAGATCAGTATTAGGAATTTGTTCTGCTTTTAATTAACCTCTTATTTTAATTGTATATAATAGAATTTTTCTTCCAATGGATTATTTAAGGATACAAAAGGTTTAATTATTTCATTTGTTGATAGAGTTATTTCAGTCTTAAAAGTTTTCTACTCTGGAGGAAGAAAAATCTGTCTGTTGCTTTTTAATCTTCTAGGGTGAAAATATTTCATTTTCATAAAAAATTTCCTAATTTTTCACAAAATTAAGATTGGAATTAAGATATTTCAAAGGATGCTTATTATTCAAAACTTGTTTATTTGTGTAGAAAGTTATAAACTGCAAATTTCAGAGGGAACTTTTAGCAATTTTACATACACACATGTCCAAAATTTAAGGATGAACACGATTGCTAGTAGTGATAGCTAAAGTCACCAAGCCAGTTGGGTGATGAGCCTGCCACAACATTGTGATTGCTGCATCATAGTTCAAGGTGGATATATTCCATACTGACAAGTCTCTGCCCAGGTATTGGTAAGCACTTTCCATCCTTTCATTACCTATATCCATCTGTCATAAGTATTTTTTACACCAAAGACTTACTTTTATCGCTTTAATCTGTAAAATATTACAAGTAGTTGTGTTAGGTTTCTGAAGACAAAGTATGCCCAAAAAAGGGACTACCATTTATTTTATTTAAAGGACCACCAAGGGACATATTTATCTTATGTTCCAGACTATACACTTTCTTGGCGACTGACCTTTTTTAGGCTACTGGTTGCAGAAGTTAAGAATTCCTTTTAAAAAACACAAAAAATATATCCAATTAAAATTACAAGAATTTCTAAAAAAAAGGAACTGGTGACATGCAGACGTCTTGCTTGCTTCCATCCATGCCTTCTAAGTAACATTACTTTAAAAATATGAGAGAATTCCTGTTGTATGCCAAAAAAATTGTTACTGTTAGACATTATATAAATGATAAATCAATTCATTAACAATATGTATATCAAAGTGAATGTTAGATCAGTGTAGATCAGTGGTTCAAAAAGTTATTGGGTCTGCAAACCAGATAAATTGAGTTGCAAGACGACAGGGACCAACTTGTAAAATCTAGAGTGTATGTCAAAAAATTTTGTCTGTTCAATAACCTAATATAAGAGGTAAGTGGTGCATAAAACTATACTTTCCTCTGGCTAAACAGCATAGAATTGTACGGTATATTAAAAAAAATGATTAGGTTGGTCCACGCACCACCTGGTTTGTTCCAGTTGACCATTACTTGTCTACAAATCATACTTTAAGTGTGATATTGGTAACAGTTTGAAAATCACTGATATGGATTACTCATTTTCACTACAAATTTCCTTTGCCTTTGAGAAGAAATTAATAGAATTATCTTGTTTGTCCTGATGTGTAATGTTAATATTAATATGGATAAATAAATAACATTTTAAAATTAATCTTGTTTTTATTTGTTAAAAAAATTTAAGAAATTTTTTGTTTAGAGTTATAGATAGAAAAAATAGGAATCACATTTGGTAAAATATATTTTTCTTTTTGCTTTTCATATGAAAATCATCCTTGTTAACAAGAAACAGTACATTCAATTATATATATATATTTTTTTACATATATAAATAATCATTTTAAAGTCAAATTGTTGATGAAAATATATTTAGCACATGGCAATATACAGTAAAATCTGTAAAAGCCAGGATAAGGTTAAGCTTTCTGGCTGAAGGTTTTCCGTCTTATGCAGGTTGGAACAAGGAAATGAACCTTCAGTTCTAGACAGCATTCATAGACTAGCATTTGCTACTGTACATTGAAACCGCTTTAAAATAAATAAAAAAGGCGAAAAGGGCGCAGAAAATATAGTATATATCTGTGCTTATGAAAATTCTACGTACAGCACACACATTCTAAGTGAAACTTGTGATTTCTCATTAAAAATATAGAATTTTAGATGCCATTTTGAATGGTTATATAGTCTCTCTCTCTAAACATTTTCGGTTACGTTATTTTTAAAACGTATTGATACATTGAGAAAGTGCATTGTGTAATTTTCCCACACTATTTTAAAACCAAATTGAATTTAGGCCATGAACAGACATGCTGACTTATTTAGATTTGATTGATGGAATAAGGCAAGGCAACACGTGCGACCTGTCATGGAGGATCCGAGTTCGAATCTCTATCAAGGACTCCTCTATGGATGTTCTTCCTTATATACTGATTAGAAATATGTAGAATTAACTATAAATATTTAAATTAATTATGTCGATTTGTGGACCTCACACAAAATGCTTAAACTGGGTAATATCAATATAGCCTTCAAAGCGGTCCTTACCAAGAGCCCCCTCTTTGGGATCGTCGTGTAAGGATCGTTGTGCTGTGGAGGCCATCACACTTGACACTCGATTGGGTCTGGCTGAAGTTCAACTATACAGAGGGACTTTGAAGCACATCACACTTGAACAGTTCTAGACATGTTATTGTATAAGATAAATAGTACAGAAAATACACGTCTGTGAAACGTAACCTTTCTTTTATGAATAATCTGTATTTTATTTTGTTTGGTTTACTTTATTCGTTTCTTAGCTACGGCTGCGGAGTGGTACACATTCAATATCTAGCGCATCGGCTCCATTATTGTCTTGGAAAACGTAGATTAAATCGATGGAATCGGTTACCAAAACTTGGCTTTTTTCTGATCGATAGATGTACAAACATTTCTAAGAGTTTGAGAATTTATAGTTCATAAAACTTCATAAAAAATTATTGATTGAGTGTATTTTTTCCATAGATGGTTGCTAATAATAACTGACTACGAATGTGTTTTGCTGGAACAGTAATACTAATGAGGGGTTTTCAATAGCAGTGCACCTTTGCCCTTTCGAAATATAAAAATTGTAAAAAAAAATACAGTTATTGCGGAATTAAAATTATAAAATAGTGCCACTTTGCACCGAACGATTCTATTCTTTTGGGCTACATGTTGTGGATCTAGGAATGCCACATTTATAAGTTCTAAGTGATAAATTGATAAAGACAGGTAAGTCATCAGTGACACTGACTTACTTGTCAATCTAAACTATTTTACATCTCATTAACTTAGACAGAGTCCGATTTTTTTCGTTTGGCTGTCCTTTCCGTGGGTCTTTTTTACACCGTGGGTTCGTCCAGGGACGATTGGGTGGTGAAGGAGCGGGCCGAAAAGTCCGGGTAGTTTAATTTAAAGTCGTGTCCTCCAAAATGGTGTGCTGTATTTTGCGGGTCCTCTGGAGTATCGTTGCGGCACCTCAGTCGAAAACCACTGGTTTAGTGCGATTGGATAAGACAACGAAACACCAGAGCAAACTGCTAAAGAAGTTCCTCTCGGCAGATTGCATTGGTTACTTGAAAGAAACCCGGAAAAATTTTTGATCCTTCAATGTTCATTAGTTTTATCCACTGAGCCATTGGCTAGCTTAGCACTCTCTTAACATTTACACTTGTCATAATAATATACAAATATCCGTATATCCAAAACTTTATATAATATAAACGTACATTGTTTGAGATGTTATAAAAATACATTTCGCGTAAGAGTTAACAGGAAAATTTTGGAAGTAACTCTGGTCTAAATCGTTAAATACAGAAGCCGAATCAAGAACTATAATCTCAGTTTTTCGTTTTAAAATAAAATTAACAATATTTGTAAGTATAATGAGTTTATTATTCGTTACTGTTTTGTGTAGAAATCACGTACTGTTTTTCGATTCAAGTCTGTTATTTACTTCAATAATAAAATATTTATCCGTAATTATCCTTGATTTTGAAATTAGAGTAATACTTTCCGCGTATCGAGACATATTTTGATTTAACAATTAAATATAACCGTTAAAGAACGAAAATATAATAATTACATTTGTAATAATAGTAAACAGAAACGGAATGGCTGTTTTTAATTATATTGTTAAAAGGAGGTTTGGATTAGATTGATGGGATTTGGCAACGCAATACGATGGCGATGTGCCAAGAGGAGGGTCTTCCCACGATCCGTGAGAAACTGATTCCTATTCTGATGTTCACAAGGGGCCTAACGAGAAGGTATAAGAGGGAAGCCCAGAACAAACTGGTTCGAGAATGTATGGTCCTGTCTCAATTATGAAGATTGTAGGATAGAAGCTTGAAGAAGTAGTCAACTTACTGGATGAAGATGAAAACCAAGACAAGAAGTATCAAGTTTATACATTATATTTTACAGAAATTCAATTAAATGTATATAAATAAAGGAACTATGTTAATAGATCTGAAGCACCCCCCCTTTGGTGTTGTGTTGCCTTATCTAATCACTCCACTTCATTCAAATATACCTACTGAATTTTGTTATATGTTAATCATAAATCCGAGAGTTTTTAAGTTGAATGTTGGCATTAAATTCGAGGGGGAAGAGTGATGTGTAGAGTACTCTATACACAAAGAGAGGTTGTAGTTCTCGCTGGTGCGTGTGTTATTTATAGCATCGAAGGCTCCGTAACGTCGTGGATAATTCAAACTTTCATTGTATTGTAAATCTTCCAGTTACGGTAATATGAAAGTGGTAGTAATTATATTTTAATTCAATTCTACAGGTTTTGAAAGTTGACATGATTAATTCTATTATTGTTTTGAATGGATGTGAATGGAAAGCTTACTCGATACCTGTGGAACATGCCAAATGGAAAATTGCCGAATTTTAAAGTATAAATTTTGACTTTCATTTAGCATCAGCAATAATTACTTCTGTTGATGATTGTTTTTATTAAATTACCCGAAAATTATTTTGGAAGAGAGCCTCTCAGAGTCAGATTTAGACATGTTGTGGCCCTACACTAACACATACAAGAGACCCTTCCTTCTTTACAAATAATAATGGGCAATGTGTATCGAACGAGGCCCTAAGCTGTAGTTTGTTTAGCTTATACGTAAATTTGGCTATAGTAATATATTTTAAAGCTTACATAAGTAGACACACAAAAATTATTATTTTAATCTTAATAAATACGGTTATAAATTCGTATATACGTACGATCCTATATAAAGGTCAATAAGGTCTTTGTAATTACTGTTACTAAGTACACAAAATTTAGTTATGTTTTATTAAAAATACGATAAAAAAGGATTGAATTGACGTTTTATTGCTCCTATTTGCATATTTTCATGGGTTTTGGAGAGAGGTGAAGACTACAGTAGACCCCCTATAACACGGTAGATAATTCCGTGTTGTACGAGTCACTTAGATTTTACAAATACGTGTGCCGGGCTGTGAACGGCTCACGTATTTGTAAAATTTAAGTGACTCGTACAACATGGAATTCATATAACACGAAATTATCTACAGTGTTATAGGGGGGTCTACTGTACTACATTTGTGACTGGAATGACCCTTTTTCACTTCTCTTATTTTTTATGTATACATGTACGTTACATATACATGAACGTCCAGGGAGAAGGGTGTAAAAGGAGCTTATTGCCCAGAGTTTTAAGGAAGTAGGGCCCTACAGAAATATATATATGCGCAGGGCCTCCATATGTATATGTACTGTCTATATATTCTTTTATCAAATGATCTTTTTAATTTTAATAATCAATAATAATAGTTCGATTGTTCAGATTAGACGAGAATCGCAATGCTTTTAAACACACTAAAAGAAATACCAGAAAGTAATTAACAACGAAGACAGCGGAACAAAGAGGAAACAGTTACAGTACCTGTTTTCTGTCTTAATCTGCCAAAAACAATTAAAATCTGGCAAATCAGGACAGAAAACAAGACAAAAACCATTAAATAATACATTATATTATAACATTATAATTAGAAACTCCCACCAATGGCCGAATGGATAAAACCATTGAACACCGATCGTGGGTTCGAGCTTCACCAGACTGGCCACGGAGTTTTCCGGGTTTCTTCACATTCGCAACACCTAAATTAGGACCAGTTAACGTAGACAATCCTTTCAGGAGTTGCGTTGTTATACGTATACGAATAATAATTAGATGCCCGAGATAATTAAGGCCTCAGCATATCGTTATGAGAGATTATAGTAGAATCGGGACGAAAACCCTAGAAATTTTTCTTGGACGGTCTGTCCGGATATGCTCCTTTCCTCATGATCCAATCTCTCTAGTGGGCCTGGTCGAACCCACAACAGGCACGTGTAAAAGGCTGTTTAAGCGCCCATAGGCGAAATCGGTCTATGGGCGCTTAAAGGGCCTTTTACACATGTCTGTAAAGGGCGAAAAGTTTCCTGGAATCGATTCCGATCTGCTACAAATAAAGTGTTTTTTTGAATAATATCACGTGTCAGTTTTAGTAATTAATCAACAAGCTAATATTGTTATTATGATACGAGTGAATAAAACAATAGAAAAAAAAATAAATTTTGAATGTAATAATATTTATTTAGATCAATATTTACGTAGAGTTTCTATTAGGAAAGTTACAAAAATCATATTTTTCTAGTGAATTGTGAGGAAATATCGAGGAAATACGCGAATATAATTATGCAAAACTGTGACGCTTCCATAGCAAGAATGGAGCAATCGAGAGCTTGTATGGGGCCCGGAGATCGCGAAGAATATAAGGCCTTATATTTATTATTTATAAAACAGGAAAAAAAGTATCTTTATTAAAAAAAAGTTACATGTTTAACGAATCGTAACAATTCGTTTTTAAAGAATTAATACTCAATTATTAATTAAATAAACACAAAAACATGATAAACGCAAATCCAAATCTTATTCACACAAACAATCTATTTGTAACTATACTATTAGTCAAAATCAACAATATACTGTAGAAATATACAAATAAAGGTCATATATAATACAAGAGTCATGTAAATATATTATATACATAGGCTGGACAACTTGTGAAGAGCGAGTCACGCTTGAATAATTATGCTCTTATACGATGTATGGAACACAGGCATATACCATAGGTGAGCCATAATGACTCACGAATCACGGCATTATACTTGTTTTCTGAGTCATTCTTGATGAAAGTACATGGGGGGAGAGTAAGTTACTTCAATAGTTATGATTTTATAGGAATATATAACTATAAAAAACAGAAATCGCATTAGCAGAACCATAATGGCTGATTTCATGCTACTTTGTATCATTTTATGTAGTATGTGGGAGGGAGGGAGAGAGTGTGTGTGTGTGTGTGTGTCGCTTCTACGTAATTTTATACGAATATATAACTGCATATCACGTTAGAAGTACGTAAAAGAGCCATATTAACTCACTACTCCCGTGTTATATTTGTAATCTGTGAGCCATTCTTGTGGAAATCCAATTACGTGTAGGGGGAAAGCGCGTGTAAACAGAGTTACGCTTCGATAATTACGCTCCTATATGTATCTACAACTGAAAAAAGAAAAAAATAAAATAATGCATACATAAGCGTAATGTCTCACAAGACTTTTGGAAATTCAATAGTAAAAAATGCTTATTAATTTCCATATATTTTATTAAATTTTAAATAATATATCCATCTTTATCCTACATTCTCTAACATTAGTTAAATAGGTGACGTTTTATAGGTCAAGGATAATTTGTTAACGTGTCACGTACTGGACGAATACATTGTTAACGTAATAACTTCGATTCGAAATAACAAATAAAAAAAAAACACACAAACACACATTTATTTAAAAAAAAATAAGAAAATGGCGACGCGGATAACACTTAAAAATTAATTATTTTTATTAAAAATAATGAAGTGTTTTATTTTTAGTTATTCAAAACAGCGGAAATGAATTTGGTTTTATGTAAAAATAATGAGATTTAAATAAATGAAAGTGCATTCCATCAGAAGTTACGAGCATTTTCACTGTTTTTTCTAGTTGATAGCTGATAAAATAATGAAGTATGAGATACCGGATACGCCTCTTTTCTTAAAAAAATCGATTTTTATAAACCGTATCTTAAAAAATAAGCGGCAATTTGGAAGAGAAATGCAACAGGGAACAAGATTCGAGACACTCTATCGGGATCCACGTCCTTGAAGTATCGATTAATCCTCGACTTCCACTCGGGATCGCGGCTTGCAACCTGCAAAAAAAATGCGAAAATCATCTCAAAATTCGATTTATTTTCTTATTTACGTTTAAAATTACCTTTTCGGTAGTTGTTAAGGGTGATAAATTGGCTTCGAGTTTTGCTCTCTTGTCTCGTTTCTTCTTAAGCGAAACCACTAGAGCGTACTCGAGTAAGCTGCAGAAGACGAATGCGATGCACGATGACATCCATACATTCATGGCTACTATATACGATACGGATGGTAGAGATGCTTGATACTGTTTAGTTACGATGGTTAGAAGACTGGTTACGCCTAAAGTAACGCGAGCTGGAACCGCTTCCGGAGGAATCCAGAATGTTAACATGGACATTCCTACTATAAGAATACTCGGAACGTAGACGTTAATTGTGTAATACCCGGTTCTTCGCCTCAGACGTATAGATCCGGTGATGCACGAAAATGTACCTGTAACAGCGTAACACATTGCTTAAGTTACGTACCGGAAGATACCTCGTTATAACGAATCCTTACCGATTTGATACGACTTTTCGCATCTGCTGCAACTGCTATTGACCACGTCGAACTGAGGGAGTAAAACGTTATCTGTGATTTGCAAACCGCATCCATCTTTCCAGTTGAGAACCATTTCGTCCGCTTGATGCGTAACTATGGAGTGAAATTTAATAATTTTTTTTAAAGAAATTAATCAAATAACTAGTGAAATATTTTAATAAAAACTCCGTTACTTACGTCCCATAATAGAAATATCGCAAGTTTGAAAGTCATGAGGGAATTTATGAAGATCCATCTCGCAACTGAGCTGTAGAGATAACCTGAAGATTCGGGGACATTTTTAAGTTTTTACACTCCTCTTTAATGTAATTCAAGATGTTTAATAATTACCTGGATGCAAAGAATATTTTCTTATCCGGATAAAAGTTTACATAAGTGTAAGGTACAATAATATTTTGCACCTTTCCTTCCAGGGAATTCTTGAACAAAATATCCGGCTTCCATATTTGTTTCCCCCACGCTTCGTCTAAAAGTATCTTGTTAGTAGCATTTTCGGGGTATTCTAATCTGTTATCCTTCCAATATTGATGTAAGAATATATCGGCGTGATAAGACTGCCAAAAGAAAAGTAACCGTGAAGACCCTTTAACTTAACTTAATATCAAATTATATTATCACTTACCATTGTCGTCTCGCGTATGGATCGGATATTAAGAACTGATATGAAAACCTCAACTTCGGTTGGTTTACCTGAAAATATTTAATGTATTTTCCCATTTTAGAAACTTAGAAAATACGCGGAATTTACAGTTTAACTGTGGTACGGCAATGCAACACACGGGCCATCTGCCAACAGAGATGCCACCGGGGACTTTCTATAAGAAACTGACCCTTATACACGCGAAGAAAATCCACGTTGGTGGTAGCGAATTATGCTTCTATCTTTTTACTATGTAATTTTTGAGGCCCCTCGAGACGACGAGGTCCTAGTGCGCCTATTGAGTTATCCGTCACTTGCCGTTGACCAGGCGAGAACCCACGATAAGTGTACGGTGGTTTCATCCAATCGTCCATCGATATATTTAGAAGAAATAGGAAATTGGCATCTTGGCATCAAGTTATTAATATTCGATTAATTTCGTAACAGTACATCGACATGCAACAACTGCATGCTTTGATAAATATAGATGCGAGTGGAAAGATCGCGTGATTACCCCTTTGCCAATACGCATTGCACCCACCCTTGGAAGTTTTCAACGTGACATTTTTTCGCATTTCTCCTAAAATAAACTCCGTCCTCAGAAGTGTCAACTTGGATTCCTCTTCTTGGTGACAAAAAAAAAAGACCCATTCTTTACACGGCATTTCGCAATGGTCGAATAAGATGAAACGGTTTGGAGATGAAAATAACTGAGACAAAAGGTTAACAACCTTTTTTTTCACTTGAACCTAGTCAATAACCTAACGATTTGGTCCCCCACAGTTTGGCAAATTATGCTTGTATTCACAAATACTTTCATAATTTCGAGCTGCAAACTCTGATTAAGCGACTAATGCCCTATATTCACCAAGGCCTTACTCGTACATAACCAGCAAAACAAATCTGGGTTTTGTCATTCTATCTTTCTTCTAATTAACGTAAAACTTATCCAATTTCATAATTAAGTAACTAATTAATGTCATAAACAGTAGACAGGTGCATTTATTTTTAGATTTATCAACAGCAGCGATCTCACATCGTGTATTTTAACACTACCAAAAGCGACGAGAGTCATTAAACATGGTCGAAGACAGCAGCGGATTATGTTCCTTTGAGGCCCTAGGAGCAATTTCGTTATAAGGCCCTTTACGTAGAAGCGATTATATATATATTAAAAAGACAATAAAATCCTTAAATAATAAGTTTTTTAAAGGCGTTCATTAAACTTTTAGAGGCATATTATCATTTTGCTATATAGGCTAATGTTTGAGGCCCCCCAAAGACGGAGCGCTCCTAGTATGAATATTGGGTAATCTGCCACCGGCTGAAGTGATATTTAATAGTGTAGAAAGGCCCTAAATCATAAAATATAACGGGTCCTTCCTTCCTCTCATCGAATGATACACGTAAAAATGCCAGGCCCTAAGTTACAAGCTTGTTTATCTTACTCGCAATTACGGCCCCGTAGAAAGGGCCACAAAAGACAATTTATTCATTCGTGTAGTTAATTATGTGCAGAATACTTTCTGCATGTTATAATAAGTATGCATTATGTAATTTTTGATTTAGTAACCTGTTTATAAAAACGGAACGGGTCTTAATTTGTGTTGAAAGGTTAAGGCGATTATGAAGTCCTTGAAAATAGGTCGATATGTCTATCCTTTATAAATTATCTAATCGTTTAAATTAATTATTCATCAGCTTAAATTATGCAATTTACATTCTTACTTAGGAGTGAAGCGAATGATATTTTTAAATATACTCACCATTCTCTATAGGAGGGCTGAACTTGTCGTAACCTTCTGGTATTATATCGCTTAATTTCAACCCTTTACAGCGATCTCCGGAGCTACGTTAAAAAAAGGAGAGCATTTATGAGTATAATTTGGAGCCGAAACGTGATAAATAACGATAAATTTAAATTTGGCACCATCTCCGGACTTGGCAGCAAATACTGTTTGCCAGGTGCAATACGAGTCTCTCGACACTTAACTACTTGATACTTTCAGTCAAGGGCACAGACATGGAATTTAGGGCTCGTCTAAGGCGCCTAGGGGGTCTATAAATTGTTATTCCATTATATAATTATCATATTTTATTTATTGTTATGCCACGTTTTACATTTTTACACTGCATCTTAGTATCGAAGTAAATTATGTTTAGGTCTACCTATCTATAATTCTATAGTTTATATATGTTTATTATAAGTAAATTAAGTATGCTAAGTTATAAAACATTACTTCAAAGCGTTATTATACTGGGGCTTATTAGTATGAGTCACACTACTTATTAACCTACAAATAAATTCCTGTATTCTAACAATCAAAAAATTAATTTTAAGACGTCAATCTACCGGATTTCCTTGAGTGTGGATCACATGCTAAGCAATTACTATTGTAAGTTAAACAATAATAAAAGAAAAAACCCCCATTGTACTACTTAAATTATAATAATTTCCTTAACTTGAGAATTTCTTCAAAAATTATGCTTTTATAATAATTCCGACAAGCATAACTTCACTATAGTACCTTTAAGTGTATAATTTAACTATATTAAGAATAATTTTAATAATAAATAAATAAATAAAGTAGAATTTAGTGAGTAAACTCACCATTGGAAGGCGTAAGAGGAGCAGATAACAGAGAGTAACGTCAATAGTGATGCGAGCATGTGAACAGTTAGGAACGAGATGCGGAGTGGAGTACTAATGACTTTCGACCGCTCCGATACAAAGCCGAAACGAAAGTACCTTTTTCTGTGTCCTAAAACCTACAGAAATAAGTCTGGCAAGGTTTGTGTTGCGTCACAAAATGACACGCTACTTTGCCCAAGTTCCTGGAAAACTTTCCCTCTTTAACTGTGATTATTATCTTGTAGAGGAATCTGTGAATCACAGCAAATTACTATTACCCTTCGTTAAATATGTAATTATATTTTATCCGTTTTCGATCGATACGACAGTAAATTCCGGTGAAAAAATTCTATATAATATAATCTATATAAAACCGATCGTTATATATAGATAGATACAAAAAAATAATACAAGCCCTACAGCCTAACACTACTTTTATACGAGATTTATAAGTAAAAACATATAAAATTTCACTATAAAAATTGGTTTTTTAAAACTACGTCATATCTACGTAACAATAGCAAGTGGAAATGTTGACCCCCTTTAAAGAGCTAACTAATGCAACGAGAATTTATAGGTATTTGATGCAACATTCAACGAAATTTTCGATACAAAAACTGTTTCCATAATTACAAAACATTATACAGGTTATATTATCGCTTGTGTTTACCTAATTTACTAGTATCGAAAGAACTGCATTGTTTACCTGTTCTGTAGACGTACCTACGAGTTATCAATAATATACCGGTTAATCGTGCTTATTTTTCTTTAGAAAAAGTGAAATTTATAAAATTTGGGCCCACCGGGGTGGTGTATAAAACCCACCGAACACTGTCTTGGGTTCGCATCTAGCTAAAGGTGCGGTCACGTGGAACTTTCCGGGTTTTCTTTACGTTTATAACACCTAAATAGTGGCCAGTTTTCGATAGAAATCCCTCCAGAGTGGCATTTCCTCTCGGCAGATCGTGTTCCCGCATACAAACAAATACAATTTATTTTATAAATAATTTTAAGTGTTTAATCCAGTGATAAGTAGGGCATGCCGAATCTGGCATTGACATAGATGCACTTAAAATGCCTCTGAATAATGAAGTCGAATTAATTTTTCAGTATGGCTGCTAAACTGACGTCACATTTATTGTTGTCCATCAGTCACTGAACACTGGCCGTGGTGAGTCGGCCAGTGTTGAGCTGGTCACGTGAAGTTTTCGGGGGTTTCTTCAGGTTTTTAACACCTAAACTTTCCATAGAAAGTCCTGTCAGAAGGCAGATCGCCCGCATGTTACTTCGCCTTATTCCATCAATTCAATTCGATCCACATTTACTGTTATTTTTAAAACCAGTTTTATAGTCGGATTTTAGTGAGAATAGAATATTATTGTATGACTCATTGACATACTTTGCCTCGTTTTCTACAATAGTAGGCACCTACTAATGGATTTCTAATGCCACTTTTTGTCTTGTTAGCCATTAATTCCTTCAATAGACAAGCAATTATTTATTTAGGCTGCAATTTTTAATCATATTTAATTTAAAATATACTCTCTCCATCTCAAATTAGTAGCGGCTTGCCCCTATGTACCGTACTGTACACTAAGAAGGGATTTTTTGAGATTCCCCCCGCGGGAGGAGAGGGAGAGGATTAAGGATTACCCTGAAAAACTTAACTTGATTAAACTGTACTATTTTAGATGATGTATTTTACGCTTTTGCGAGAAATCGAGCGTAGTTTTAGACCCATCTAAAAGTTCTCTAATTAGTCTCGAGAGAGGGGGGACCTAATTTTTGCACCCGGTGAAAACGTATAAGATCGCCTATAATCTAATAATATTAATCTTTGCTATATTTACTTTCTGCCCGAGCAACGCCGGGCTCGTATGCTAGTATAAATATAATAATAAAACAAAATATAATTCTTTAAGTACGAGTACCTAATAATATTTATAATATATAAATTAGTGATAAAATGTAAGCAAGTTTAGTTTCATAACAAATACATAATAATACATAAAAAAAAAAACACTTTAAAATTGTTTCCTCTCTGTTTTCGTTTGCAAATCGGTCAATCACTTTCTTCAGATCAAGTTGACAAGCTATTGTTTTTTCAATTGATAGAGTCAGGGGCGGATCTAGATTTTATCGGGGCCTAGGGCGATAAATTCTCATTGTTAATGTAAAAGTATTAAAAATTTATAATAATAATTCGATTTTTGTGGGCCCTTGACACTTAGGGGCTCAGGGCTTAAGCCATATTAGTCCTTACGTAGATTCGCCCCTGGATATAGTAACCGGAGCTAAGACGGTGTTGTGACGCGCTGCTTCTTAAATAAGCTTTGATTAATTGTAGTTTTGAAAAACTTCTTTGTCGTCGCCCGTAAAGTTAAAAAAAATGAGGCATGCTGCAATAATGTGGGAGAACCTATTTGAGGCTGCGGTGTAAAATAAAAGTAGTTCAGTAACTTAGCTTATAGAAGTAATTTCTTTTACCTGACTATAAAAATACATTTTAAATCGAAGCAGTTGAGGTCCAAAATTAGGTGAATGTCGAAGGAATATGCCGATTAATTGTTCCGGAATATTTTTATCAGATGACGCGACAAGATATGTAGGAGATAAGCGCTTGAAAAGTGTAATACATAATTGTCGAACGGATTCGAATCTAATCGTTAATTGATAATTATTAAATCAAATTTTATATTTTTACAAATGTATTTACAAGTTTTTATTTTGGTCTTTCTAACTTGGCGCCCTCGTAATTCGCGCGCCTGGAACAGTTTGCTCCAACTGCTCCACGGTAGCTACGCCTCTGCTGCCGAAAGAATGTCTTTTCGGGAGGACTTTCTATGGGAAATTGATCCCTATTTAGTTTTACTAACGCGAAAAAACCCGAAAAACTCCACGTGCCCAGCCCGTTGGTACGGCACAACCGACCGTTATTTCAGTGATTTCATCCACTCGACCACTGGTGGGCATATCCGGGTTTTTCGATTGACCGGATTTGATCCTGGGTACCCCAGAGAGATAGATTGACTCTAACAGCCCCAGCCATCCATCGGGGAATTCAGTACTAGTCAAATATACTTCAATACGAGCTTTACATTATATACATTTAATTTAAAGGGCCTTTGCATTATCCAGAGCACGAACTTGATTTTTTAAAACTCTTTCTGCCCTGTGGGCACTAAGAGGGTCTTTTTAGCAAAGCCGTTACGGGTTTGGCTAGGCCCACAGTGGATGGCGCGGAATGTACGGACGGACCATTCCGAACAATACTTGAGATTTTTTTGCCCCTTCTGGATTCGATCCCGACTTCTTCAGAGAGGTAGGCTACTACCAAAACCCACCCTTCTCAGGGTATACATTTAACTAGTTACAATTAATGGGCTGACTATTTATTTTACAGTACAGTACTCATGTACGAAGTCACCATATTGTTAACATCTAAACCGTAGTTCGAGCTTCGTAAATAACAATTGTTTTAAACTAATTGGGGTTAGCAAAAATTAAAAGGTTACAAGCGCCACTCTCATCCAAATTCAGATTTCTATTCGGTTTCAGTGCTTATGAATGACAGCATGTCCTCCAGTGATCTTAACACAAATGGAACAACAGTAAACACAAAGATTGGTTTCACGCCGCAGTTATGTTAAAATCACCGCAACTCTCAAAGTTTTCATATACAGGCGTGCACTTGGGACCTTTTCAAATTCTTATTGGGCTCTTTACGGTAATAAGAACATCTTTTATAATTTTAATATATCAAATCATGTAGAAATAAGGAACCAACATGGACGGATTATGAGTAACGCTATATACGTCCACAGCATTATCTATGTTCCGGAGCGTCCGCAGAAGGAGGTAAACGGGCACTTGCCTACCACTAGGATTGAGTAAAAAATTCCACATATTTAATTTTATTATCAAATAAAACCATTCAACATAGAAAAAGTTTTAATCATTGCCTATATCACCGAAACATCATCTTCAGTCATGACAGCAGTGCAATTTTCAGGATCCCAAGTATCACCCATATTCTGAAATAATAAACACTTTGTGTACTTGGCACCTTTAGTGTGGAATTGACTTTTTGATACCTAAATATTAAAACCCTAATAGCAATATTAAGACAGTATCTAATCGGAATGCGCACATTAAAGGTAGCGACACAGTGTGTAACTGATAGCTATAAGTATACTCTGCACACGCTTAATTTAAAGAATAACTATCAGTTAGTTGAAGCAAAGAAAAAACGATACAATTTCTAAACAATCGAAAAATGTGCACTTAAAATGATGGATTTTGCAGTGTCGTGAACTACACCGCAAAATTACTCAAATACTGGGCACATTGCCTTGAGGTTCCAGGCCTGAAGGTTGTGGTTTCGTTCTCTGTATGGAATCCCTTCCGTAATTAATTTTTTTCTTTACGATTTTATTAAAGTGTGATTTTTAATTCATTATGGGTATTTTTACAGTATCTTGTACATGTGAGTGAGGTTCGTGTATAATTGTTACTTATAAAAGACAACAAAATATAAACAATATTATCGTTATTCAAAAGCAATTACATTCGACCCCCCTTATAACACTGTTGATTATTTCGTTTTATATGAATTCCATGTTGTACGAGTCACTTCGATTTTTCAAATACGTGTGCCGGGCTGTGAACGGCCTACGTATTTGTAAAATCGAAGTGACTCGTACAACATGGAATTCATATAAAACGGAATAATCAACAGTGTTATAGGGGGGTCGACTGTATTTAATTAACTGTATTTTGTAAATAACACAATAATAGATCTTTTGAATAATGACAATAGATTTGTACTCGGGATAAGCTTAGACATAAGTAAAGCTTTTGATAGTACATGGTGGCTTCTAATACTGTTACAACTTAGTAGGAAAAAGTGTCCCGGGAATTTATATAAAATTCTACATAATTACTTATCTGAAAGAACAGCAATTATACAACAAGGACATAATACTGTTTCTCGAGACGTTGAAAGAGGTTGTCCCCAGGGTTCTGTCCTTGGTCCTTTGCTCTGGACAATTATGTTTGACTTGTTCCTCGAACAGAACTTTGGGCAAAACATGATGGTTGCTTATGCTGATGACGTCATAGTATTAATTGCAGGTAATACCAGAGCAGAACT